GCGCTCTTCCTGTGTAACCTCACTTTCCCATCTGTGGGTAGGGTGCTCATGCACCCACACCTGGAAACTTTACAATAGGAGCCAGGTCCTCTGGGAGGTAGAGGACTGGCCGCCAGCTCTTCAGGAAGCAGCTACGTGTGCTGAGGACAGGAGGACCCCACTCCCCAGCAGAGCAGCACACAGCCCCCGCTTCTGTCAGGATCGTCCATGGTGGGAGCTGAGGACGGGAGCGCTCGGACTCAGGCCTTTAGTTAGCGAGGAAGCTCCCCCGATTCATGTAGGGTAACAGCAAAGGTCCCAGAAAAGCGTGTAACTGAGGTGGTGCTGAGAGCCTCATCTTCTGAGACCAGGTTAGGCAGGCTGGTCTGGAGCCACCAGGTCTGGCACGCAGCACCAGGTGCACATCACAGAGGGCGCAGTGGCTCGTGCAGTTGGTCTGGAGGCAGGCAGGCAGTAGAAATTCGTGTTTTTTCATTTCTTTTCTTTCTCTCTCTCTCTTTTTTTCTTAAGAATTATTTTATTTAATTTTTTTTATTATTATTATTTTTTAATTTGACCAGAGAGAAAGAGAGAAAGCAGAAAGTGAGAAAACAAGGCACCAGGTCCAGGACTTGAACCATGGTCAGCCATGTGGGAGTCCAGCATCTTCCATGAGGAAGTCCAGCATCTTAACCACCAGCCCACCTACTAGCCTCCCCCTCTCTCTTTTTAATTAATTAACTTATTTATTTATTCGTTCATTCGTTTTTCCAGGCAGGGGTTCTCACCTTGTTGCCATCCTCAGCCTCCACTTCCCGAATAGCTGAGATTACAGATGCAGGCCACCTGCCTGGCTTTTGGGATGGGCTGAGAATCAAACCAAAGCTCCGCATGGCCTCAGCCTGCTGAGTGGGAGTACCTACCAGCTCACACTACCAAGGCTGGAGCTGAGATTGGTTTTATAGCATCGCGGTTTCCTGTCTGCCCTTTGAGGCAGTTTGAGAAGGCTGAGTACATGCTCCTCTTCCTCTCACCAAAGCTCCCCGTCAACGTCCGGTTCTGCCTCGAAGGCATGGAGGAGTCTGGCTCCGAAGGCCTGGACGAGCTGATCTTTGCACGGAAAGACACGTTCTTCAAGGATGTGGACTACGTCTGCATCTCGGACAACTACTGGCTGGGGAAGAAGAAGCCCTGCATCACATACGGCCTCCGGGGCATCTGCTACTTCTTCATCGAGGTACAGGGCAGTGCGCGCCGGCTTCCTCTCGGGTCTCCCTAGCCCCTAAGTCCCTGTTCTTCCCCATCACAACCGGTCAGCGGGGAGTGGATCTGAACCCGGGTCCTTGGGCCCTGAGCCCGTGTGGGGTGCTATTGGTGGCAGGAGACAGCCCAGGCTGTCATGGCACTGCTGCGAAGGCTCTTGTCTCGTGTGGGGTTGCATGGACACACTGTCACCGTGTCGGGCATCCCCACTTACCTTGGCCGGCATCCCCCATTGAGTACCTACACAGTTACTGGTTTGAGTTCCTGAGGTTAGTATTCCCGGTTTACCTAAGGCTAGCACCCCGAGTTCACCTGCGGCCAGCGTGCCTAGGTCCCTGTAGGTAGCGTGTCCCGTTCCCCCAGGGCTGGCCTGTCTGGCCCCCCGCGGTCATCATGCCCCGCTCACCATGTCTAGCATCTCCAGGAGCAGGTTTTGCTGCTAAAATGCTTTAATTTGGCACTCGCCTTGCTTTGCTCCTTGAGGGAACACATTTTCATTTGGAAGATTTGTTAGACCTTACAAATGCCCTTTGTGTGGTCTTATCTGTCACGTGATGAAAGTATGCTACGGCCGAATAAAGTGGCCATTGTCTGTGCCCAGGTGGAATGCAGTGACAAAGACCTTCACTCTGGGGTGTACGGTGGCTCCATGCACGAGGCCATGACCGACCTCATCACGCTGATGGGTAAGCATGGTGGCCCCTCGGTCAGCACCTGGCGAGTGGGCGGGAGTGACGGGGCTGTGGCCAGCCCCCGTGGTTGTCCTCAAAGCATCTCCACATTGTTCCTGAGTCAGTCTCAGCTGTCTCTTGTCCCATCTCCCTCCCTCCCTCTCCTGACGTGTCCCTTCGAAGGCTGCTGTCCCATTACTGCTCCCGTCTTCCTGCTCTGCCTGGAACCTTCCCTTGTCTTGTCACCTGTTGAAACCCTGCCCTGCCTCCAAGGCCGAGCTGGCTGCCCCGGTCCTGTCCAGTGTGTTCCCTAGGATTGTGTGACCCTGGCCTTCCTCTGAGCTCCGCTGGGAGGGCACTCACCTCGATCCGTTTTGTGTTATGGGGGGGGCACATCCCAGCCCCCACTTGCGGACTCTTTGAGAGCAGACGCTCTCTGCTCCTCACATCCTCCTGGAAGGAGGCTGTGTGAAGCTTTTGCCCTCCCACAGGACTGCGTTGGCATCCCCCTCCACTGGGTGGTGGCTGCCCCGGTGATCAGGCCACTGGCTGCTCCGCGCCTCGGTTTCCCTCCTTGGCCTGGGAGCAGCCCGTTTCTCCCAGGGTGTGCGCTAACAGAGATGCTGGCCAGTGCAGGGTTAGAGTAGGCCTGCTTGGACCCAGTCTGCTGGCCAGGCCTCCCGCTGTCCCTGATCCCATCTGAGAAGTGGGAGCGCTGGGACTCCCTCGCAGAGGGCTGCTGTGACAGTTTGGTGACCTGCTCAGCATAAGGCACTGAGAGGGTGCCCAGAACCGACATGGGCCAGGACATGCCCACCCTCGTCCTCCCGTGTGAACTGTCATGGTCACGGCTGCATGGCTATGCAGGCTGGGTTATGCGTTCCCTGGTGCCTGGCTTCCTGAGTCAGGCACTGGCAGTCCCACTGCTCTGCGTGACACTGAGTGCTTCCTCTGCTGCTCCTCCCCTCAGGCTCCTTGATCGACAAGAAGGGCAGAATCCTTATCCCTGGCATTAACGATGCCGTGGCCCCAGTGACCGAGGAGGAGCATGCACTCTACGACAACATCGACTTCGACCTGCAGGAGTTTGCCAAGGACGTGGGGGCGGAGACCCTCCTGCACAGCTGCAAGGTGCAGGCCAGGGTCTTGGTGTTCCATGTCCTGCCTCCAGGGCCTCCTCACAGAGAGGCTGGGGACTGGAGATTGGGGACTGAGGCAGGGCTCCCAGGGCAGCTGGGTGAGGCCTAGGATGGACTGAGGCACCTACATGAGGCCTGAGCTCTGTCAGGGAGAGGATGGTGAGCCAGGCCAGCCTCATCAGACGTCCCTTGGAACAGGTCGCAGTGGGGCAACAGGGCGAGGCAGGGGAGCAGGGGGCCAGTTAGGCTGGTGCAGGCCCGCGAGCCTCACCCAGTATCACGGGGTTGAGGAGGTACTGGGGCTGACAGCACCAGGTAGTCAGATGCTCTGAAGAAGGAGCTGACTACACAGGGAGGCCGGGGACTGGGCTCAGGAAGACCACGGCAAGGGAGAGTCGGGTTCAGAACAGCTGCTGTTCTCTCCGGCGCCGCAACCTCGGATTGGTGTCTGCATCCATGCAGGTGTGTAGGGGCTGGCGGTCCTCGACTCGCGTTGTCATTTGGTTCCAAGGAGGAGCCCAGGCACTGAGAGGCGGGTTACTGAGGGCCTCCAGCAGCTCTTCAGGAGAGGTGTAGGCAAACCCCTGCCTATCTGCAGATACCTCCCTGCCCCGCCCTCTGCCGCGGCTGCTGTGCGGTGGGCATGGAGAAGGGCAGAGCCGTGGAGTGCCTGGGAACAGGCTGCATCCTGCCACCCCAGTTAAAGGGGATGGTGTGTGTCCACGGTCGCCTGGCCACAGCTGGGAGCCTGGTCAGCCTGGCTCTCCTCTCCCGGTAAAAGAGAACCCTCATTGTGAGCTGTGGGCCCAGGCCAAGGTCTCCTTTGCGGTGTCCTGGCCTCCCCAGACCACACCTGCGGCAGGCTCTAACCGGCCCTGCCCACGTGGGTGTGCCTGCGTCTGGACACCCGTTCCCCAGCGCCTTCCCCACCCCTCGGACAGCAGGCAGCCAGCTCTGACAGCCCTCTCGTTGCTCTGCAGAAGGACATCCTCATGCACCGGTGGCGGTTCCCGTCCCTCTCCCTCCACGGCATTGAAGGCGCGTTCTCTGGGTCGGGGGCCAAGACCGTGATTCCCAGGAAGGTGATCGGCAAGTTCTCCATCAGACTTGTGCCAGACATGATCCCCGAAGTCGTCAGTGAGCAGGCACGTGGAGCGTGGGACCAGGGGTGTGGTCAGCAGCCGCTATAGACTGCCAGCCTGAGGTGACAGAGGCCTGTCCTGGGGCAAAACCCGGGGCCCACTGTGCCCACGTCTCAGCTCTGCCCACTCAGCAACTGCAGGAGCCGGCGGCACACACCCTCCAGGACAGAGGCTGAGTGACAGGCTTCACTACCACTGACCTCGGCGTGCCGGAGCCTGACCTTTGACCTCACCCTAAGGCTTCAGGCCAAATATGTTGTGGTGGGAGGTTAGGGAGCCACCTCTCGCAGTGCTGAGGGGCAGAGGGGCAGGGCTCTGCTGTCTGCAGTCAGCCAGCTCCCCACCCATGAGGCATGGTACCCATCGGTGCCCAGCTCCATCTCACATCTAGGTGAAACGTAGCTCAGCTGCCGTGACGGGATGTCACAGCCTGGGGCTGTCTGTGAGGACCCACCTCCGCACAGCTGGAGTGGGGATCAGGGCTTCAACAGGGAGCGTTCAGGGATACGACATTCTGTTTATAGCATGAAGCAAGTCAGGTCACCTTGTTCTTCTAAATTAAAAAAACATTATTATTTACTTTATTTAATTTATTTTATTTTCATTATTTTTTAAAATTTGCTGTAGGGCACTTGTGTTCACTAGAGAGAGAGAGAAAGAGAAAAAGAGAAAGCAAGAAATCCAGTTGCCAGGTCCAGGACTCGAACCATAGTTGGGAGAGTGGGAGAGTCCGTTGCCTTAACCACCATACCACCTGCCACCTTGTTCTTAAACTTAGTTTACAAATGATCATTTGGGGGCCAGCAGGTGATGGTTAAGGCACCAGACACTCCCACATGATCAAGCACGGTTCAGGTCCGGAGCTGGTGACTTGCTTTCTCACTTTCCTTCTCTCTGTGTGTCTGTCTTTCTCTGGTCAAATTAAAACAAATGAATGAATAGATAAAATTTTTAAAAATTATCATTTGGAACATCTGTGAAAAGGCTGAATTGCTTGAAATTAAAACATTGCCTTTTGCTTTCTAATAACCAGGTTTTTCATTTTTGTTTATTTATTCTAGAGGGATTTTTGCTATAGGGTGTGTGCACTCACCATAGAAAGAGAGACAGAGAGAAAAGTGAGAAATCACCCTCTGGGGGGATGGCCACACCACAACCCCTTCTCCGTTCTCCTGGGATTCTGGGCTTACCTGCACATGCACCCAGCATGCGTTCCAAGCCTCTGGGTCTGGGATTCAAACTGCAGTTGGCCCTGTGGGAACCTAGCGCCTCAACCACTACGCCACCTGGAGGAGTTTTTCTCCGAGACTTGGAATACCCTTCCCTGAAAGAAAAGCCTAGACAGTGGTTTGGAGCAACTGACAAAGTTTATTAGTGTCGGCAATTCTTTTATACAGTTCTACTTCCAGGTTACATGAGGGCAAGTAAATACTACGTGGGCAGGAAAAAAGCGTTCTGGTAAACGTAAAACTTTAATGGGGCATCCTGGGTGCTGGGACATGTCTGTGATCATGTTTCGGAGACACGTTTACTGCAGGCTCCGGGAAGCAGTCTGTGAACTTGGCCCTTCAGCTAGTTCTAGGAGGACCCTCTCCTCCTCAGACCCCCGGAGGTCACTGGCAGGCACACCACCCACTGGCCATGGGTTCTGTTTCTCCATAAGGGCCCCTTTCTGTTTTCATAGTTATGCAGGTCAGGATTCCGCAACCGAAAACGAGTCTCTGAAGCCCAGCCGAGGCCCCGCTGTGACAGGCTTGTTGTCGGTCGGGGCATCGGGTCAGACACCAGGCTCATGAAGCATCGTGTCTTCTGTTTGTGGTTCAGGTCACGAACTACTTGACTAAGAAGTTCGCAGAACTGGAGAGCCCCAACAAGTTCAAGGTGCACATGTGCCACGGTGGGAAGCCCTGGGTGTCCGACTTCAACCATCCTCACTACCTGGCTGGGAGAAGAGCCCTGAAAACAGGTGGGGCCTCCTGGGGCATGTCCGCCAGGGCCTTCGTGTTACCAAACCAAAGTGCTGAGCCAGACCTGCTGCACGAAAAGCCTGTCCCTGAGAGGAATGCCAGGGAGGGAAGCCAGGAGACGACAGAACATATCCTCTCAGATTTACCCTCTGACTAAGCGAGGAGCAGAGATTTAAAGGAGAGGTGCAGCCAGCTGAGGGTGGGCAAGGACAAGGTGGGCGGCCTCTATTAAGGCGTCAGATCCTGGGGCTGGCAGATGGCGTAATGGTTATGTCACTGGACTCCCACATACTTGACTACGGTTCAAGTTCCAGACCCAGTGGCTTAAAACCTTGCACTGGGGGCGTGTGTGTGCGTGCCCAAGATCCCGAGGGGAGAATGGAAGAGAAGGGATTACAGCGTGGCCATCCTCCCCCAACCCCCAGGGGTGATTTCTCCCTTTCTGTCTCTCTGCCTTTCTCTGTCTTTTCGGTGAATGCCCGCACCCTATAGCAAAATCTCTGTGAGGAAAAAAAAATTATGTCGAATCTTTGGACAGGTGAGACAGTTTTAAATTTAGCACCAAATTGGTGGCTCCTGTGTCTGTAAGAAAATTTACTGGGACCACCATCAAAGAGGACTATATTGGGACCGGCAGTTAGCGTAATGGCTATGTCGTTGGACTCCCATGTAGTGGACCACGGTTCGAGTCTCGGACCTGGTGGTTTAAACTGACTCGGGGTGCGTGTGCATGCGTGCCCAAGATCCCGAGAGGAGAACGGAGGAGAAGGGATTGCAGCATGGCCATCCCCCCAGGGGATTTCTCGCTTTCTGTCTCTGTCTCTCTCTGTCTGTCTGGCGAGCGCATGCACCCTATAGCGAAAACCTCTCCAAAAAACAAGAGGCCTATAAAAATGTAAGCACAGTGCTCAGGGCAGAAGGCCACTGTGGGCTACGCTGTCGTGACCGGTCACCGAGACACTGGTGGGCTCAGGGGCAGCTCTCCGGCTCCACGCAAGCCGAGGAGGCAATGTGTTCAGTTACTGGCAGGGCGGGTGTCTCAGTGTATCTGACAGACACTATCGTCGCCCCTGGGCGCATAGTCGTGTCTCGTCAGTGACGACCTGAGGAGAGCCACGTGGGCTGGGGCCTGGGCCGACGGCTGACCCTGCGCCAGGCTCCGCTCTCAGAGCCTCACACGGAAGGCTGCCGCGCGGGGGCTCCGATGCGCCCTTCGTCCCCAGGTCGCAGGTTCACTGTCCTCTTCCACTTCTTGCAGTTTTTGGTGTTGAACCAGACTTGACCAGGGAAGGCGGCAGTATTCCTGTGACCTTGACCTTTCAGGAGGCCACGGGCAAGAACGTCATGCTGTTGCCCATGGGGTCAGCCGATGACGGTGCTCACTCCCAGAATGAGAAGATCAACAGGTGAGACTGCAGACCCCGCCCGAAGCCGGGCTGCTTCTCTCCAGCCCTTGCCTGCGCTCCTCCTGCCCCGTCTGCTGCCCAGAGACGCAAGCGCAGGGGCTGGGCGCGACCACGCCCTCCCGTCTGACTTGGCGATGGTGAAGATTTCTGAAGGAAGCCGGGGGACAAGGCCTTGGGCAGTCTATAGCAGCAAAGTTCAATTACGGTTCTGCATCTTTCTCTGTTCCTCACCTGCTGCTCATACAACCCTCTCTACTTTTCCATTTTGAAAAACTACAGTGGCATTTCTGTGTGCGTGAGCTACTTTCACGCATTCCCGTCTTCGGCAGGTGTGGTGGGGATGCTTTTAACTCACAGGGATGGAGGGTAGGTCTGAGTTACAGCAAGAGAGACTCAAGCAGGCGGGGCACTTCAGAGAAGGAACCTGGCCCCTGAGCTGAGAGGAGGATCCATCTTGGTATTTGGATAGACCAGTCAGCAGACAGAGGGTCTGCATGGAGGAGGGAGTGGGGGATACGAGGCGGAGGCCTGGCCCCCATAAGCAAATGAACAAGGGGAGGGCCCAGGACCTGGGTAAGACATTTGCTCTCAGGGCTCTGGGTGCGACCAGGACCGGGACTGGTCCGAGAGTAGACCGTCGCATTGAGTCTGTGCTTGGGAACCAGGTGGCCAAATGGGAAAGCAAGCAGGACTGAGGGCCACCAAGCTGGGGATGGGGACATTCTCCCCGTGTCTGGGCTCGGAGGGCGGGGGGGCAGCACACCTGGGCACGGTGGCTGACATGATGTTCCTCTCCATCAGGCATAACTACGTAGAGGGCACCAAGATGATGGCCGCGTACCTGCACGAGCTGTCTCAGCTGCAGGACTGACGCCCGCTGCCCGGGGAAGGGCACGCCTGGCCAGAGGACTCCTGCCTTCCGCCCTCGCCCTCTCCTGACTTGCTCGGGAAAGTGGAAGCCCCCTCCTCTCCCCATCCCCCTCTCACCGGCTCAGACACAGACTTCGCAGAACAGACACATGTGGGCCCAGTCACCTCATGGGTGGAGTCGGCTGTACCGGGCAGTTAGAGGCATTTCGTCCTGGGGTCTCATCAGTGGCCCTGGTGACGGCTGAGTCACCTTCTGGGTGGTTCTCAAAGATGGTCAGTCTGACGTGGCCTCCGGAAAACAGCTGGGGCCCAAAAGCACAAGTTCTGCAGGAAGCGCTGGCTGCCCTCAGGTGGGGCATGCAGGGACCCGGTGCCTTCTGCGGTCCACCCCGCCTCTGTCTCCAGTGTGCACTCTTGGAATATTTAGAAAGGAAATGGGGAGATAAACCAGGGGCAAAAGTGCCGCGAGGGCCGCCTTTCCTGACCCCTCACTTCTCCACAGCTCTGTCCCGTTCCCAAGATTTTAACCGTCCTTGCCATTTTCCATCTTCTCTGTTAGGAGCCCTTGAGGCCTAACCTAGCTGGATACATTGTTTTATCTCAGTCTTTTCTGCTAAATAAAAAGTAAAGCCAACACCTTGGACTGCTCTGGCTGCCTGGCTTGGAGCACAGTGTCTTGGTCACTGAGCGTCGTCTGCTTTGTGTGGGCTCGGGAGAGAGGGGCAGTCAGAAATGAGGCCAAGTGTGTCCCAGCCAGCGCTTAACAGAAAGTCAGGCTGCACTGAGCACAATTCAGAACAGAGAAGACCAGAGTAGACTGTCCAATGAAAGGAACCAGGGCTCCTCGGAGAAGTTTCCAGGGCTGGGGCGGAGGAAGCACGGGTAGGTCTGGAGCTTCTGGTGGCAAGGAGGACATGCCGGTCAGAGCACGGGGCACTGAAGGAACTCACAGGGGCCAAACTGAAGCACTGAGCAAGAAAATACCAACAACTCTGGGCTAGGGCCGATGGAGTAGATAACTCCCCACAAGCTATGCTAACATGTCAGTAATTGAGAGTGCAGGCTTGAGTGCACCTCCTTTGAAGAATTCCCGTTAGTCAGTGTAAGAAGAAATGGAAAATCACGTGAGGACACAGTTGCCACAGACAAGGTCCCCGATGAACCTCGGTGGTAACGACACATCAGCGTTTGTGCCCCTGATGTGATGCCCTGAGGAGGACATGCCAACCCTGGCCGCCTCGAGCTCATCACAGATAACAGGTGGACCCAAATTAGTGAGTCTGGCAAAAAGCTGCAGTTCTACCAACGTCAACATGGTTTTGACCACCGTGCTGTGGTTCTGTAAGATCTTGGTCTAGGAAGGATGTGTGCAAACTCCACTGCTATTACAACTTTTCTGTGTAGTATCATTTTAAAGTAAAATGTTCAGAAGAAAGAAAAGGAGGAGAAGAGGGAGGAAGAGAAGGGGAGAAGGAGGAGAGGGAGAAGGACAAGAAGAAGGAAGAAGAAAGGGAAACAAGGAGAATCAGGAGAAGAGAGAAAAAATTGACTGGCTCCGGGTATGGCTGGACTCAGCACTCGGCATTAGATCACGCCACCTCTCAGTGACTCTCTCATTTTCTACTTCTACACCCAGCACGGGTCTTATTGGCTCCCATGGTCATGAAGCCGTGGTTAGCACTGCTGTGGTTTGAAAGTCTCTTCCCAAATTCATGTCGACATTTATCTGCCATCGTGACTGCATTAAGAGGTGGCACCTTTAAGAGGCGACTAGGCCATGAGGGCTCAATCCTCATGAATGGATTAATGCTATTCTTGCAGGATAGAGTCCTTATAAAGGAATAAGTTCAGCCTCCTCTTTTCTCTCTCTCTCCCTCACCCTCTTTGCCTTTTTACTTTCCACCATGGGATGACACAGGAGGAAGTTCTTAGCCAGATGCCAGCCCTTGATTGTGGACTTCCCAGCCTCCAGAACCATGAGCCAAATTTCTGTTCATTCTGAATTATCCAATCTGTGGCATTCTGTTGTAGCACCATGAAATTGGCTTGAGCAGTCTCCATGCTGTGACATGCAGAATGCATGGGACTGAAGCCAGATTGGTCTCCCCTGAAGCTACCCGTGGGGACCACGGTGCTGGAGATACTCAGGGGCAGTGGTTTCCCAGAGGAAACCAAAATGGTATTCTACGAGAAGAGTGAATGATTGCTGGGTAAAATCTGAATGTTGCCCTCAGTCTTCTCCAAACTCAGTAGCCCCCGTTGAATTCTCCAGGAGCACAAGGGCCCATCTCAGGAGTGCCGTAATCTTGTTACCTGGGCCATTATCAGATAACGAGTTGAGTGGTGTGGACACTTACATACTACTCCCCAGACCGCTTTAAATTAAGAGAAGAGTCAACATGCTGCTAGTCTGGTTAAAACAAACATCAACAAATAGTGGAAGTGGCCTTTGGTAAAATCATGAACTTACAGGGTTTGACCAACTGCCAGTTCTGGGAATTTGAGCCACCCTTGATGTCTCTTATCCTTACCACTCTCCCTGTCAAAGGTGCATAAATCACTTTTCACCCAGAGGGGTTGGGCACACAGGTGACTACGTGACCCCTTTGCAGAGTAGGAAGGACTGCATTCTTCACGCTCAGAGGCGGTTCTTTCCAAGTGGCAACCCGGTGAGGTCCACAGACGTTATTTCCACATATATTAAGGAGGACCAATTTTTTAAAACAACTTCGGAATTTTTTTTTCAGGCTACCAAAATGTGGTACATGATAGGAATCTTAATTATAAAAATAAATAACACGACAAACAACAGCAACAAAAATTAAGTGTTGGGACCAGCAGTTGATGTAATGGCTATGTCACTAGACTCCCATGTAGTTGACTGTGGTTCGAGTCCCAGACCTGGTGGCTTAAATTCACACCGGGTGCATGTGCATGTGTGCCCAAGATCCTGAGAGGAGAAGGGATTGTGGCCATACCCCCTGGGGGGGTGATCTCTCGCTTTCTGTCTCTCTGTCTCTCTCTGTCTTTCTGGCGAGCGCACGCACCCTATAGCAAAAACCTAAAAGAAAATTATTAGCCTAAAAAAATCCACCACGAAGACTGAGAAAATGGCCCAAAAATTTGAGACTAATATACGAGAAATACTAGATACCATCAAATGTCCAAACATCCGGATAATAGGCATCCCAGAAGGGGAAGAGACTTATAAGGGCATTAATAATCTATTCCATGAGATCCTGCAAGAAAACTTTCCAAATCTAGAGAGGAACTCAAAGATTCAGTCCCAAGAAATACAGAGGACCCCAAGTAGAATCAACCCAAGAAGATCTTCTCCAAGACACGTTATAGCCAGATTGACCAAAACCACAGAAAAAGACAAGATACTAAGATTGGCAAGAGAAAAATGGCAAGTTACCTACAAAGGGTATCCCATCAGACTAACAGCAGACTTCTCATCGGAAACAATGCGAGCGAGGAAAGAATGGGAAAACATATTCAAAGTGTTAAGGGAAAAGCAATTTCAACCAAAAACACTGTACCCAGCAAGATTATCATTCATTTGGGAAGAAAAGACACAAACATTCCCAGATAAACAAAACCTGAAAGAATTTACCAACACCAGACCAGATCTCCGAGAAGTTCTCAAGGGAGTGCTATGTCAGGAAAATTAAATGCAGACACACAGAAGTGGGAGTTCAAAAACAAAGAAAATAGCCAACTTTATCATAGGGACAAGTCTGGAGTTGAATACTATATCCCAGATTTCAATCTGGAAGATCAAACCACAACAGTAGAAAAATTAAGTACATGCGACTGAACTGATGAAACAACATTCTGTGACTTGACTAAATATTACTGCTTTTCTTCTAAGCTTTGTTGTCCGGTTTTAAAGGATTTTTGTCCTGTCTTGAGCTGTCAATAGGTTCATGTACCTACTATTTGAACAGAATACTAACCTGTTTCTAGGCTTTAAGTTTCAAGGAAATATCGTTACCAGTTCAAAACTGCTTTTCTTGAAATTATTAGTGGAACTTGCTATTGAAAGTAGTTAGATTACTTATGATATTGTGTGATCAACAAAATGTTGGGGGAAAAGGAATTGAAGACAACTGTATGTAGCAGAGCTAGGGTAATAAGAGAGTGGGAAAAGGCAGAGGGTCAAACATGGGGTAAAAAACATATATATACATATACATTTATATGAAAGTAGAAATGGAATATTATTGATGATAACATGCATGATTAAGCCACTATGCAGGTACCAGCAGTTAGTGTAATGGCTATATTGCTGGATTCCCACATAGTCGACCGCGGTTCGCGTCCCAAAACCAATGGCTTAAAACTCATGCCGGGCGTGTGTGCATGTGTGCCCAAGATCCCGAGAGGAGAATGGAGAAGGGACTGCGGCATGGCCATCCCCCCTGGAGGGTGATTTCTTGCTTTCTGTCTCTATGTCTCTCTGTCTGGACAGCGCATGCACCCTATAGCAAAAACCTCTCCAAAAAATAAATAATTATTTATTTTTTATTTATTTATTTTTTTTAAAAAGCCACTATGCAGTTTACTCTAGATGGGAAACCACATTTAGTATGTTGTGATGATGCTCAAGGAATGAACATTATGTAATTAAAAAAATTTTTTTCAGGAGAAAAAAAAAAAAAAAACCTCTCCAAAAAAAAAAAAATTGTCAATTCTACTTTTTATTCAGAGGGAAATATATCTAAAATGCTTTAGAGAATGATTTTCCATCAATTGATAGAAATTGAAAACAGCCATCACCTGGCCAGTTAAGCATCATATTATCAAATATAATGTATTTTGCTTACACAAAAGACAAAGCGCTTTGGGAAATGCTCATGGACCCAGAGATGGTCTGGAGATCCGTGAGTTATTAGAATATCTTCAGAAAGAAATGCACATTGGTGCTACCTGCTGGGCAAAGAGTTGCAGGAAGTTGTCTGGAAGTGGAAAACTGCAAAGTCCATGCTGCTGCCTTACGGTGAAGAGGAAGGCTCCTACTGTGTCCCCAAGTAAGGACTCGCCAGGTTCTTTGCATTATTTCTCTGAAAAATGATTGGCAGTAACTTTTGGGGGGATTGAGAGTTCTCCCAGAAAGCTCTTCCCTTGAATTGCTTGCTAGTGCTTCCCTAATTCCTATTTCTTGTCTGTTTTTTACCCCACCACGATGAAATAGGACCCACTGCCGGCAAGCCTGGGGCAGGTGCAGGCCTGTGGAGACTAAACTAATGAGACTGAATTCATATGTCACTTGATCCATCCACTTAATGTGTCGAATGTAATAATTTCTGGTAAATTCATGGAACACTTCCATCACCCCAAGAGAAACCCTTGTCCCCATTAGCTTTCATCTCCCCCAGGCCTGAGCACCCACCAGCCTGTTTCCTGCCTGTGGATTTACCTCTTCTTGGACCACACAGCTCCAAGCGGTCTCTCTGGGTGCCCAGCAGGCTCACAGGCTGGTATGGGTTATGTCCGGCCCCCACCCTCATTGGTACCTCAAAGTTCTTGTCCCCAAGTCCTCGGAAAGTGACCCTCTTTGGAGATAATTGCTGAGATAAATATAAGGTCACGCTGGCAGAGTGGGCCCTGCTACAGTACAACCAGTACCCTTAGGAGAAGGGAAATTCGGACAGACAGGGAGGATGGAAGGCGAGGATGAAGGCTGAGATGGCGGGAAGTAGGCCATGGAGCACCAGAGATTGACTCGGCCCTCAGGAACTCTGAAGAGGCCTGAAACAATCAGCCCTCACGGCCACGGAAGGAACCAGCCCTGCCACGCCTAGCTCATAAACCGCAGCCTCCTGGACTGTGAGAAGCGTTCCTGCCGTCCACGCCGCCCCGTCGGTGCTGCGTTACAATGGCCGGGGAACCAGGATGCAGCCTATAACATTCTGTCCGAAGAGCCCGGAGCAGGAGTGGCGGTTCACACCCCCTCGTCTCAGCTCTGTGAGGTGGTGGAATGTAGACACCTGCCCCCTCTCATGGGTGACACCCCCACATGCGCCCAAGGGTGCACCTGGACGGTCACAGCCTGAGCCAGGTGCTGGCCTCCAGGAACATCAGATGGCCTTCGGGCACTCCCTCCCTGTCTGCACAAACAAGACACACTGTTTCCTCTGCAAGGGGACTGGCGGGACACACAGCTCTGAAGCATCTTTGTCTTCCAGACATGAATAGACCCACTGGGGCAGCCTCATCTTCCTTCCGGGCTGGGGCGGGTCAGGGTACAGAGAGGTATTTAGCGTGACAGCCTGGGCCCTGGTGGGACTTACTCTCCCATGACCCTTGGAGACCCAAGGAGTTGCTCAAGGCTTTAAGGTTCCAGCCCAATGGATCCCAAACTCGGGAGAATGGTGAGTAGGACCTCCAGCTGGAGTGTGGTTTCCATGTGCCTGCAGAGCGTGTGGCCGGGCTGTCCAGGCGGCGGGGCAGGCGCCCAGAGTGCTGCAGGGTTCATGGAGTTTTCTCCCCTTTGTCTTCTGAAGGTCTGTGTCCTTAAATCGGCTCAGAGATACTGACAGAAGGGGCTGGCAGGTGGTGTGGTGGTTAGAGGCGCTGGATTTCCACTATGGCCGACTCGTTCGAGCTCTGGCCCTGGCAGCTTGGTTTCTCACTTTCCCTTTCTCTCTCTCTCTCTCTCTGGTCAAATTAAAAAAAATAAATAAATAAGTAGATAATTCTTAAAAAGAAAAATACTGACAGTAGACAGATTAACAGATAATTTAATATTATAAATCTTACACACTTATGAATGTACAAAGGACATTGCAGAAAAGCAAGCAGCTGATACCCAGCGATGTCTGGGTCCCTGTCGACCCTTCCCACGGGGAAGAAGGGCATGGAGGAGGAGGCCACCTAGGGGGAGGAAATTAAGGACAGGGATGGCCTCTGTAGGAAGAGGGATGCTCGTCTGGGTGAGGTGCCACGTCCAGTCTCTTCCAGGCATCACTGCTATTGCATGCTAACCTTCCTGGTAGGTGGACGTCCCCGGGAGGGCTCTGTGACTGCTGGCTTCCTTCAGGTTGTGCTGAGGTGCGTGAAGGGAAATTCGGAGGAGGCCCGCCTATGCCTCTGCTGTGTCCGGCTAGAAGCAGTCGGCTACCAGTGTCACATTCTGGCAGAGCTTACTGGTCCCTTCAGGGGTCCAGAAAGGTCAGTACGCACAGGTGCTCTTAGGCGTGGCCGTCCCAGCCTGAGCAGGTGGTATTTGGAATTGTATGTTCTTAAAAATGATTAAAGGGCCTTGTTTTCAAGTAGCTTATATTCAAAATGTGTAGGGAGACATCTTCAATAAGAACGTTCTCAGTCGTTTCTCTCTGAAAGGATGACTTGCATCCTGGAGCCCAAGTAATGCAGCAGACAGTGTGGCATGTGTCCTGGTCACAGGCGTGTGGCATTTGTAGCCAGCACGCGAGAGCTATCTGAGTGGTGACTTTAGTGTGACTCACTTTAGGCTAGAGGCCCAGGAATCTGCCTTTTGGAGTGTGTAATTCAAAGGCTTTGGGTACATTCATAGATATGTACAACTGTCATTGTAACCAAATTTAGGACATTTTCATCACCTCAAAAAGAAGTCCCTTACCTTTAGCTATGACCCTCCTGTTCCCGGTTCTTCTCTGTCTCCCTGAACAACCACTAATCTACTTCCTGTCTATAATATCCCTCTGAACTTCCACGCATCGGCACCCCACAGCAGGCAGCCTTTTGTGGCGGGCTTCCCTCATGTGACACATTGTTTTCAAGGTGGAAGCACCTGCAGGCTGTACACCCATGCTACTGTTTCCACGGCCAAATAATGTTCCATCACGTGACTATCCTACGTTTTGTGCATCCATTGGTCCGTTGATGGGCTTTTGGGTGATCTCAGCTTTGACTATTCTAAACAGAGCTGCTGTAAACTTGTGTTCCTCTTTTAGTGTGAACGTATGTTTTGGGGAGTGGAATTGCTGGCAATATGATACCTTCATGTTTCACTGTCAAACCATTTCTTAAAACAGTGGACCATTTCCATTCCAGGCAGCCGTGCCTGTGGGGTCCGGTTTCTTGGCATCCTCCCCAGAACTCGTTACCCGGCTTTGTTCTAGTCCCCTGGGTAGGTGGGGAGCAGCATCTCACAGCCAGATCCTCACGTCCCTGATGGCTAACGCTGAGTCTTAGCATGCACTCGTTGGCCAAGGAAGCTACCTTTGTGTCTGTGCCCGCCACCTCCCTGCCCCTCCCCATCAAGAGATTCGAACAGAGGAGATGTGTCCTTCACCCTCTGAGAACATTTTTCAAGCTGATGTAATGAAATCCCCCTGGATTTCTCCTGGTTTATCAGGGTGTGTCTCTTGCTCCAAGACTGTGAAGCTGAGCATGGCTATTTTGTTATCTAGGGGTCAGCTTGTTTCTAATGAGTCAGTCCTGCTGATTTGCACAAGGAGGCGTCCAGCTTCTGGCCCACGCAGCCTGTGAAAGGCTACGAGAGAGCTCGGGCAGCAGAAACTCCTCTACAGCAGCAGACACACGACTGCCGCCCATGCTGAGGCTCTTACACTGTCCCGGAAGGATGTCTTTCACAGCTGGCTTTTTGAATCAGAATCTAAATGGGGCCCACGCTTCACATTTGTTTGGTATTTATCTTTTGTATTTTATTTTATATTTTATTCATTATTCATATTTAATTTGCTGTAGGGCACATGTGCTCACCAGAGAAAATGAGAAAGCAAGCCCTCAGGTCCAGGACTCGAACCACTGTCAGCATCCAGCATCCTAACCACCACCCCACTCTCGTAAATCATGTTTATTCTAGAATATTACCCTTGCTCTTTATTTTTCCTTGTCATTTATTTATTAAAGAAGCCAGGTCATTTTCCATGCACATGTTTAATAGTAACTGTTAGTACAGAGGGCATGTACACTACCCAGGGAGAGACAGAGACAGAGCGAGAGAGCGCACTCCTCATGAGGGATGGCCTTGGTGAAATTCCTTCTCTCCCATTTGTTTCTCTTTTTGGAATTTTGGGCATGCACACACGTGCACCAGTATGTTCATTTGTTTTGTTTCAACAGAGAATGCGAGGGCTCACGTGGAGGAGACAGTGAGAAGGAAAGTGAGAACCCCCCCCCAGATGGGAGGATGGCCACACCGCCGCCATTCCGTCTCCTCCATTCTCCTCCTGGGGTCTCAGGCATGCACGCACACATGCCCGGTGTGATTTTCAGGCCACTGAGTCCGGGATTCGAACCGCAGTTGGCCATGTGGGAGTCCAGCGATGTAACTGCTACACCAACTGCTGGCCCTGCTAGCATGTGTTTTCAAGTCTTAGGGTCCAGGATTCAAACTGCACAGGTAGCCATGTGGGACCCAGTCACCTTATCCACCACTCACAGGCTGACCCATTAGTTTGTAAGCTTCTATCTTGATAGTATATATAAACTTGAGTTTGAATTGTTCTTTTACTCTCAGTAGGCAAAGAATTTAAATAATTGTCGATGATTTGACCTGGATTCCTCTCTATTATCATCTGCATTTTTAAACACCTAGCAAATGTTCCTTTTCGCCGTAAAGGCATTCATTTCTGGAATAATACATATTTCGATAAAGAAAAATGTGGCTCTTTGTACTGCTGCTTTATTTTCTACCCCTGCTTTTCACTCAGGTTAGATGCCTGAGCTCTGCCCTGACCCTTAGTCTTGGGGCAGGCCCGTCTCAGCCGGCCGCCAGTAGTGATGCCGCCTACAGCAGGGAACAGTCTGGTTCAGAACTTCCACGGGATTGGAGAGCAAGCCCGGGAGCAGAGTCGTGTTCGGGGCGTAGGAGTGGAACCCATTCACCGTGGCCTGAGCA